TTTGTGGCTGCGCGGGTCACGCTGGCCGTCTACCTGGTGCAGTACGCGCTGCTCGCTCGGCGAAACTGTACAAGGGCGCCGCCGCCGCGGTCGGATGAACTGTTGCAGGGAAATGACACCCTGTTGGCCTGGGTGCTGTCTCTGAACAGCTGGAGGAGCCAGTGGCAGAAAGCTTGGATAACAGCCCTAAACGCAGAAGCCAAAGTCAGAGGGGTAAGTGACCTTGTAGATTGGACAACAAACCCGTGCAATGCTTGCATTGGAAACGACGTTGCAATCGGCTGTGTTACCGCAGCATTGGGTGTCTGCACTTCTTGCAAGCATGTGTTCCTGGAGATCACATGGTTTTCAATAGATCTCTTTTCTCCAGTCCTATTTCATGGGGGTGTCACCCTGCTGAGTCGAATGGAATTTCAAATCGGAGTGACACTGGAAGAAAGACAGTGAAGGGAAATGACCTTATGTACCTTGTTCCAAAAAGATCAAATATGTATTTCAAATACTGTTGTGGCTTTTATTTCTGCACTTTTGTATAGGTTAAAGTTCTGAAGAGTAATTTCAAAATTGAGTCTCATATTTTTAAAACTACAGTGTTACGCCTCTCCCCCCCCTCCCCCCTTTTCAAATGTTGACGTTTTACTCTCTGTTTATTATAGTTGCCTTCGGGAAGCTTTAAACTAAAATCTGTCCTTTCCTCTCCCTCAAAAATCGGTATGAATCCATTCACTCTACTGAACTGTCATTCCATTAAAAAAGGAAATCTGTTTGGGGAAATGCATATGAATTTGGAAATGCAAGGGCACATTTTGCTTTCTATTATATCTGTAGAAATCAGGGGTATGAAGTATCAGTGAACTGGATATCTGCTGATATGGCTTACACCTCCCCTGCAGAGCACTCTTGTGGTTGTGGAGTCTGCCACCAGAGCAGAACAAAAGTGTTGTCTATCACAGTAACATGCCAGAACCTCACTAGACTCTGGTTTCATTCTTTTGTTTGCTTACTGTGAATCAAGTCTTTTGAGGACTGAAAAATGCTAATTGATGTACAGTTGTTAATGAAACCTGTTTACCTGATTTTTATTATGTTAAAGTGGATGTTATGATATGACTTCTCTTTCTTTGCTTTGCCCACTATTTACCAGTTTTGCCAAAACAAGAAATAAGTATGAGATTAGCAAAGATATTCTGAATGGATATAATGAAATCTAGAGATTTTCCTGTTCTACCCACTATTTCCTTTTTAAAAAAAATCTATAAAGGGAGATGGATAGAAGTGCTGGGGAAGTGTTGCTGACATCTCAGCCAACCAACATAGATTCTGCATATGCAATTGATAACATTGTTATGTACCTTTTGAAGAGAAAAACAATAGAAACTTCCTGACTTGTCACATGACTCTGTCAATTATGAGCCAGATATTTCCCCCTCTGTAAGTCTGTAGAACTCTCGGGAAATCTCAGTTCCAGCCTCTCTCATTTATGTTTTTGCACACATTCAATATTTTTGATGTTTACTTCTGTTAACTTATTTTTGTTTGCCTGGCAGATCTTAGCCTTGAGGAGAGTAAAATAAGATTATGGTTGCCCTTATGTCAGTCATACAATTTATGTTTGAATTTTATATACAACTTTAAAAAAAAAAACCACCTTTCTGAATTGGCATACACAGCATATGATCTACTTTTTTCTCTTTCTTCCCATATCTATTTGTGAAGGACATAAAAACAAAATTCTGGGTCTAAAGAGGCCATAACAACTAAATTTCTTGGACTGAGAATTGAACCTTTCCTATGTTGATGCAAATAGCCAGTTCCAATAATCTGGGAAATGTTATGTTTCTGTGTAGGGTTTTTTTTTTATGTGTTCTTCAGCACCATTACTCCAAGCCAGTGTTCTTTTGTTTAGCAATTTATTATTTTTAAGCAATCCTACAGTGCCTTCTACTTAGTTATATGCATTAGAAGGGGATAAAGGATTGATTGTGTGTATTTCAATTAAAAATTAAAAATTCTCCAGGCATTATTGTTAAATGCGGAAGGTGGGTAGGAAATATCTTGGTTGTCCCCTTACAATACCAACTCTCTGTGAGAAAACTATGGGTGTTATGATAAAAGAAGAAAGGATTGAGTTCTGCAGAAATAAATATTTTAAGAATTGTTACAAATTGGGAACAGGTTTCAGGAGATGGAAATTAGCAACATAGGCAAACAGAGACAATGTTACTTTCTGTATGGCACACCCTCTCTTGCCTTTTCTTTTGATGAATTTTGATGAACTGACAACTGTAGCATATTTTTACTCCCTCAAGTAGGTTCCCAAATGCTCAAGAACAATGTCAGCATCATAATGCTAATGAAATTCTTACATGTGTACAGATATACCAAAGCAAAACTTACCCTGGGAAGTCTGTTAATGCAGTAGTGGCTGCCAATGAGCGCACACAGTATCAGTAAAATTACTGTTGTTTCTGGAAAACATGACTTCACAAAGCAGTGGATGTTAGTGATCTTTCTCACTCACACCTCCTTTTGTGTGTATTACATATACATTATACTCTTTTTTTTTTTTTTTTTTCTTCCCTTCATTTTGCTTAGTGTCGTAGGCATGTGATGTTTTGTTTTTAATACTTAGCGGAACTACAGTACAGTTGTATGTTCAAACAGCTTTCTTTCAAATGATTATTCTAGGGCTGTCAATTGACATGCATTAACGCCTGCAATTAACACAGTCCAGGATGAACATGTTAATAGCAGTCATTAATGCTGTGCTGCCCCTTTGAAGTGCCACTGCAGCACTTCAAAGGGGCAGAGCAACATGGAGCCCAGGATCAGCTGGAGACTCCCCTGCTGACCCTAGGCTCCACTGCCCCCTTTGAAACACGAGGAGGTGGCATTTCTAAGGGGTAGCCACCGCGCAGCTGATCCCCGGCTCAGCTGTGAGGTGGCTGCCTTTTAGAAATGCCACCTCCACGTGTTTCAATGGGGCTATGGAGTCTGGGGTCAGGTGGAGACTTCCCAACTGATCCTGGGCTCCATGCAGCATTGCCCCAGAAATGGAGAAATGCTGCGCGGAGCCTGGGATCAGCTGGGGAGTTCCCAGCTGACCCCAGGCTTCAGGGCTGCTCCTTTGAAACGTGCGAGGAGGTGGCATTTTAAAGGGGCAGCCGTGGAGCCCGGGGTCAGCTGGGCACTCCCCACCTGACCCCAGGTTCTGGGGAAATGCCACGCAAAACCCAGGGTCAGCTGGGGGGTCCCTGGGCTCCACAGCTGTCCCTTTGAAATGCTGCCTTGGAGTTTCAAAGTGGCAGCACCACACAGCTGTGCCCTTCCCTCCTCCCCCCCCCCTTTTGCTGCCTCTATATCATAGAGGCAGCAAAGGGGAGGGGAGGAAATCGACTAGTCGACTGACTATTTGATAAGCATTTGCTTGTTGGATAGCTGCGCTGCCCCTTTGAAGCGCCTCTCCGGGCAGTTGGGCACTTCTAATGTGCTACCCCTTTGAGGCCGGCACCAGGGCAGCGTTACCAAAGGGCAGTGCAACACGGAGTCCAGGATCAGCTGGACACCGTGTTGTGCTACCCCTTTGATGTGCCACAGCGGCGCTTCAAAGGGCCAGTGCTGCATGGAGCCCGGGGTCAGCTGGAGACTCTAGCTGATCCCGGGCTCCATGCAGCGCTGCCTCATTTCAAAGGGAGCACGCACGTGATTAAAAAATTTAATTGTGATTAGTTACACAATTAATTGCTTGACAGCCCTAGATTATTCCAAAATGAAAAGATACCAGACAGCTCATGCAGCTGTATAAGTTCCCTACAGTATGTTGTTAGGCCACATCCTGAAAACAGTTGAAAATATTTATATTATAGTAGCTGTGAAAATAGCTTCTTTGAATTCAACAGAACTACCTTTGATGATGATGCCTTCACTTCCCACTGCCGTCAAGATGAGTCAGGATCAGTCCTTATGAGAATGAAATTAAGCATAGGTTTTCTGGGCTGTTCCTTATATTATGTAATGGATTATAGTGAATAGGATTAATAAAATCCCACGATTTTTTATATATATAAATGTATACATTCTATTACCTAATGGATTCAGAAACTATATTGACAATGTGACACAAATGAAAATACTTTACTTAAAACATGTTACTTGTTTCTCAGGATTCATTGTTGCTTACATTTGAAGAAGACACAACTCCTCAGCCACTGGAGCTAGTAGTTAGACGAGTTGTAAGTGTTGTGAAGTCAGCCTGGGAAAAGGTAAATGTTTTCTCTTAGTAGATTCTCTTAGTAGAGTAAACATTTCTTTAGTATTTTCTCTTAATGGATTACAACCATTACGCCTTTTTAAAATACTAAGCTCTTGTTATGGTTGGGAATGGCTTTTCAGAGTTAGACTATTGTAAATTTGTACTGTATTTACTTGAGATGATGAGTTTGTGTGCGCTTCTGGGCGACTACAAATGTTCACAAAACTGAGCTTATTTTATGCATTGTCAAGGTCATATGGCCAAACTTTTTCCCCATTATTTCCTACTCCATTACTGTTAAAGTCTGCTTAAGATAAGGAAGGAAAGGAACATTGTGGAGAAACTCTTAACTCTTACTCACTTCTGTTTTGTTGATTAAAAATTTTATGTGGCCTGTTCTTATCTGATTATAGTTAAGTAGGTTCAAAATCTAAGGGTGAAATCTTGGCCCCATTGAATTCAATGGGGATTTTTTCTTTAGTCTTTAATGGGGCCAAAAATCACCTTAGGTATTAAGGTAGAACTCTCATATGAAACTTTTCACTTATTTTATGAAGCACACAGCATTTAAAACAGAATGTAGCCATTGGAATATGTACATTCTTTCCATGAGATGCACAAAAATTGTAGAAGCTAGTGACTACGTTTTTTTTCGTCTACAGTTAGACCCCTGGTACAAAGTGGCCTGATTCTCAGGGTGCAAAGTACCAACTCTCCTATTCTTTCTCTCTGTCCTGTGAACTGTGCATGTAAGTTCAAGTACTCTGGCTTTGGGGTCACAGATTTGAGGGTTGGTTGACTGGTAATTGTTGCAAATAACAAGCTTTTGGTTGAATGGAAGAAGGTATGGGCCTTGGATATGGCAGAGCTGCATTCAGAGTTGAATGTTAGTGGTATACAAATACTACTGCTAGTGGATAACTGAGTCAGTCCACAGAGTAAGTTATGGGAGTCTTAACTGCAAGGATGCCCATCCACCGCTCCCTTTTCTCCAGCAGTTTATGCTACTCTACCTCCATTGCTCTTATGGTGGCTTCAAGTCACCTGAGGATTCCCCAGCACAGGTGGAATTCTCTAGAAGCTGGATCTGCTAGTTTTATGGCTGCTTTGGGACACTAAAGTAGATCCTTTGTTATTTAAAGTTAAGATTGCCATGCCAACTGAAACATGCCCTGCCCTGGGATGTACTTCTAGAACCTGGGTCTCTCACATCCCAGGTGAATGCCTAAATGGATCTCTTCCATTTCTCTCCTTTCTCCTCCTCCTCCCCCCTCACCTCCAAAAAAACCCCCAAAAAACAAACTACCACCACCTGGATCTGAAATAGGGATGTAAAATCCCATTTAATTGGTGAACTGGATAAACATATTGTTTAAACAGTTAACTGATTAAAGGAGAAGGCAGGTGGCAGACTGGGGCCAGTCCAGCCCGACTGAAGCAGCAACCCCCCTTGCGGCTGGGCTCGAGCAGTCCTTGCTTGTGCCAGGCCAGAGTGTCCCACAGGCAGGGGCTGCTCGGGTGGCTGGGTCAGAGCAGCCCCTGCCTGAGGGGCACCCAGGCCCACAGCAAGCAGGGGCTGTTCCAGCTCGCTGAGAACAGCCCCGTCCACAGCAGGCCCTCCACGGGGCTGGAGCAGCCCCCTGCCAGTGGATGTGGGGAGTTGCTCCAGTCCTTACCAGTTAACTAGTTAAATATTCACATCCCTAATCTGAAAAACCTTTCGGATGGAAGTTCAGTTGAAACTGTGAAGTTTGTGGTGTTGACAAATTTACGTTTTCCTGTTAGAAATATTTTGGTGGAAAAGTCAGCTATGAACATGACTGGGCTGAACCTGCCTATATGATTAAGACAGTGTCTTTATGGAAATGGCTTCAGCCTTAACTGAATTTCTTTACTCTTGGCTTAGGACATGCCCTGCATAAAATAAAAGTATTGCTTGCCTTAATGTACAATAGCTGTAAATTAAAGAAGGAACCCTTTGATAGATCCTCTGACTCTTTCTTTTTTTTTAATGCATGAAGTTGTTGTTGTCCCCCTCCTTCCTCTTAGCAAACTCGGCTAGTTTTCCTGTAGAACATTTTAATTGCAGATCCGAAGAGCATTGATAGTAAATTCATGGAAAATAAGTAGCTCTTATGTGTGTGTCTGTTTCTGGAACTGGTCTGTTAGTACAAATATATTGAATTAGAAGGGGAAATTCTATAACTGAAACCTTTTTTAGGCCCAGTCCACACTGCAACTTTCAGCTTGAATTTGTAACTAGTTACTAGCACAGCTGGTTATAAATTTGATGTGTGACAATGCCCTGCATGTTTATCAATGCTATGGCAACAAAAAGCACTTTGCCCTTGCCAGAGTCCATGGCTGGCACATGGCTGTCTTCTTGTTTTCTTCAGTTTTGGCATCCTTTTATTTATGATTGTATTACAAGAGCATCTAGAGACCTCAGCCAAGGATCAGGGCTCCATTATGCTGGGTGCTTTACAAACGTAATTTAAAAATACACCATGCCTTTATCAGAGCTCTCAACTAGGATGAAGACAAAACTCAACAGTAGATGAAACAGAAGAATTGGAGTGAAAGGACAATGTCAGTAAAATAAATGCATTATGCATAATGGGGGTTCTTTTTTGGTGTGTGTGTGTGTGTGTGATTAGTTCCTCTTCCTCTCAGCTCTCTTTGCCTGAGTGTCTAAAAATTCACATGCTGCTGGATCTACTCTGTACACAAGTCTACTTGGGCATTGTATCTCCTTCTGAGGTATTGGTGGATAGCTGTACAGAATATTGTTTCTTATTGCAGTAGGCACAAACACACTATGTAGGTTCTGGACCCCATGAGGCAAGGCATTATGCAAACCTACCCCAACACACTCTTCCTTTCTTGAAGAACTTAAAATCTAAGGAATTGGTGCATTTCTCAGGATGTACTGATTAGACAGCATGCTAGCCATGGGCAAACAAACATGGTTATAATGGCAGAAAAATGGCCGTGTGGTTGCAAACTGAACCATGTAAAGTGTGACAAGTTACGGTGACCAAGCCTCTATTGAGGGCATGTCTAGGCTATGTGCGGCTTCTGAAAGAAGATATGCAAATTCAGCTTGAATTTGCATATTTTCTTCCATTTTTTTTCCCGGAAGAGGCTTTTCCAATATTTGGCCCGTCTACATGGGGCCAAATATCGGGGAGGAAAAACCCTTTTTTTGAAAATTCCCTGTAAACCTCCTCTTCCGGGGGGGAAAAAACCCTCTTCTGGGGGGGGGGGAAGGAAGAAGATAATGCAAATTTGAATCAAATTTGTATATCTTCTTTCGGAAGCTGCGCGTAGTCCAGACATGCCCTCAGTTACAAAATCAGTTTTAAAATATGACTTGGACCTATAGAATGAAGTGATTTGTTTTCAGAAGTACTTGCAGTGACTTGGTCAGCATTTCCATTAGCATCATCTATTTCCTGAAGGCTTATTACTTGGCAGCAAAAGTTTTGTGCTTTGGGGTGTTTTCCCTGTCTTGTCAGGAATTTGGTGCATAAGGTTTTGGCTGAGGCAAGAGCAGGTTTTGAAACTTATTTTGTTTTTAAGCTGTTATCAAAAGTCTCCCTCCTCTTCCTTTAAGACATTGACATTGGCTCCTTGATAAATTCTTCATACTCCAAAAATTGCCTTAGGTGGTGGAAGGTGGAGAGGAAGTGGCTTAGGGAAAGGAAAGCTTTGGTTTTCAAATGGGCTTTGCAGCCTGTCCTTGAGGGGCCTATTCAGCTACTCGGCTATTGCAGCTGTGCCACTTGAGTGGCTCGTGTAAATTGGTTGAGGGAATTGAGCAATGCTGTTAAAGGCTGGTGGCAGAGGATAGCACAGTTGTAGGGCTTGGAGCTTTAAATCCCTTTGCGGGGGGGGGAGAAACACACAGAAGGCAATCTGCTAATCTTAAAACGAGATTGAGGTATTTGATATCCTCTTCCTCTGAACTCCTGAGGAGAAACCTGAAGTTACTTGCAGGAGAGAAACTTAATCTGTGTTTCACACTGCTTATTGAAAATCCCTGACTAATGAAGTTTAATGCAGGAATGGTCTTGGATGAGGTCACTGATTTTTGTATTCCTTGAGATCTGGCTGGACGATGAAACTCTAGGCTCATATTAACCTAGAGGTTATCTAATGGGTACTTAGATGAGCATAAATTTGGAGAGATTACATGGCTGTTTTAGTCACATCTGAATCTAGTTAAGACTCCTCTCTCTGATCCAAACCCATTTAATTAGGGTACTAATGTAGAATACAAGGCTACGTCTAGACTGCAAGCCTCTTTCGAAAGAGGCTTTTTCGAAAAAGAGTGTCTAGACTGCAAGCAGTACTTTCGAAAAAGCAAGCTGCTTTTTCGAAAGAGCACCTAGGCAGTCTGGATGCTCTATTTCTAAAAAGCCCTGTTTGCATTGAAGAACGCCTTTTTTCGAAAGAGCACTTTTGAAAAAAGGCGTTCTTCCTCATGAAATGAGGTTTTCCACCATCGAAAGAAAAGCCGCGTTCTTTCGATTTCATTTTGAAAGAACGCGGCTGTAGTCTAGACGCAGGTGACGCTTTTTTTTCGAAAAAAGGCTACTTTTTTCGAAAAAACCCTCGAGTCTGGACACAGCCCAAGGGTCCTGAGCTGGTGTAAACACTGACATTGTTATATAGGATACTTTCTGCACAGAAAAATCCCCACTTGAGCTGATGAGTTCACTTTTTGGGAGTGTTGAACAATATTGATTGAACAAAGTGGTATAAGTTTCTGTGGAGACTGTGATTCCTCTGAGTAAGCTTAGCATCTCTTGCCTGAGACTGTCCCAGGTGTCTTTGCCTCTACTAGAGCAGTTGGGCCATGTGCACAATCCCTGGGCTGGGATTTCTGACGGTGTTGAATTTAAATCAAATTCCTGCAGTTAATTGGTTCATTTTTTGAGTCTGGAAAGCACTTTCTTTAGAGTGAAGGCTATATTTTTAATTGCTAACGCTGTGACTTAAAGAACCTGGTTAGTTTGACAACTTAGAGAGGAACTCTTCAATTAACATAGCACTGAAGCTTGGTAGAATTGTATATACCATGGTCTTACACTATGGACATCCTCCATAGTCACTACCCCATGCTTTGTCCTTGCAGGTTTCCATGATAGAAAACTTACTTATGAGAGGGTAGAGGGCTAGAATGCAAGTCACAGTGTCTTGGTTGAAATCTGATTTACTTACAGCTTGAACATTCTTGAAACCTATATTATAGGTGTGTAAGACACTAAGAAAGGCTTATTCTCCCCTGCCATAATTAGGGATGTTAAAATTAGATTAATCAACTAATTGAATAGTCAATAGAATTTCCGTTGACTATTTGATTAGTTGATAAAGGCGCTTCCACTTTGAAGTGTAGCAACAGCCAGGTGCCTCTTGCAACATTTCAAGGTGGAAGTGCCACATGGAGCCTGGGGCCAGCGGGGGACTCAGTCTTCATAAAGCTGTTTATCAGGGAATTTAAATGGTGTTGTGTAATGGTACCTGTTTCTTTCAAATACAAGAATTGATTACTTAAATCATGGTACTTTAAATATATTTCATGTATGGGGTATGACACACACCCCTTGTTTAAAGGGCCTAGGAAGAAAATCTCAGGGGAGTATATATAATGTATATGAATCCCTCAGTCTGTGCCTCTGTGAGTCCATTTGTTCAAGAAGTCCTCCTAAACTGTAAGAGCTAGGGCCAGCACATTTGGTATACCGCTTCCTCTTACCCTAACTTAAAGCAGGACCCGGGTTTGCTTGTGTCTGAAAAACGCCTTTCATTTCTGGAGACCAAAGTTCAAATCTTGACTAATAGTACAGCCATCTCCAGAAATGAAAGGCCTTGCATTTCTGAACTTAATTTTTCTAACTGGTCAAGGTAAAAGTTTCTTGAATGAAAACTTTGTTTATTTCCCACCAGGTGGTTTCTTGTAATGTAGTGGGAGACTCCATTCAATTTATTGTTCATGTGTCACATACTTCACCTCCTACTACAGAATGTCAGTCATATGCTGTGAAACTCTCTCCACTTCACTTGCAGGTAAAGTTTTATTTATTTATTTATTTTATTTTATTTTATTTTATTTTAAGATTATGCTTACCAAATATTACATTCAGATCCAGAAATGCTAACTGGACCAATTTTATACATATACTGTGATCATGCTGACCAGTTATTTTAATTGTGGGGTTCAAAAGTTACAAAATGCTTAAATATGCTAGTGCTGTTGACAGTTTTTTGGGGGGATTGTTGGTTTTGCTTTTTTTGTAAAACCAAAATACCTTTGTCTTAATTGTATAATTAAAAGTAAACATTTTTTTGAGAAGGCTGTGCAGATAAATAATACTGCATTTATAATTATGGACCATGAAAATACATTTTTATTCTGTGAGTCTTTAAAATGTGTGCCTACAGCTATATGCAGAGTATACACTGTAAAAGCTGAAATAGCTTCTCATATGTTGTTCTTAGGTTGCTATCATTTGAGACTTATTACATTTAAATATGAGTCACGCTGACTTCCGTGGAACTGCACCTGTTTACAGCAGTGATAAGCTTGTTTCAGTGCTTCTTTTAAAAGATGATATTCATAAATCTGCGGATGACCGATTTAACCTCTCTTTTCTACAGCTGGAACTGTATATGAAAGAGAAAGGAGACGACATTCAAGTTGTGTGGTCCTTCCTGAATGTCCCTGAAACTAATATTAAAATCCAGCCTATAGCAGTACAGGAGGTCAGTCAGTAAGTTTTTTGTTTTGTTTTTAATTTTAGTTTTATTTTAGACAAAGAAATGAAAGGGCAAATGATGACTCCTCTGTTCTGCACAGTAGCATTCTACATGGTACTAAAATGTTAAAACTAGCTTGAGATTGGGTTGACCAGATTTGAGAGAGAAATGTTGTTGGGCGGGTGGTTTCATCCAAGTCTTAAAAACATGAAAACTTTTTTCTTAAATAAAATTATTTCTCAAATCAGTTTTGAAAATCTGTAGTAACAGTGTTCTAATCAAAATAACTCTAAGTCCATTGTTTGGATCACTTGCATTAATACATTAATATTAGAACACGACAACCTTATTTCTGAATCCTCTTGATAGTTTGGAGGGTGTGAGAGTGGAATCATCGGTCTCTTAAGGCATTCCATAATGCTAAGAACTTGCTTTATGCTTCTGCTTTCTGACTTTCATGTTGCTATCTTGGAAGTTACAAATGCATTTTCTCATTCTTTGGGACCTTGGTCCCCTCACTCTACCTTGTACTTAACTGATTTTTAGAAATTGTACCTTCACAATGGGAAATGGTTGGTTGGATTTTACTATGCACATATTTTTTTGTGTCTTGTACAGTAACTTCTGTGGCGTTTATTTTATCCCTGCTTAAAAAGCTGGCTTAGGTTTATTTTAGCATGTCTTCTGAGGAATTGTTTTATGGACTGAATTATGACCCAGAGAGGAAAATATTTAGGTTTGTTCTTGGGGCGTGGTTGTGTGGGTGTTTTTTTTTTTTTTTTTTTTTTTTTTTAAATCCTGGGTGAACTACTACATATATTAAAAACTGACATATAACACAAGACTCTTTCTAAAAAATCAAGATTTATTGTACATGTCTGAGTGACCTTAATCACTTGGACTGGTGTCTAATATCCATGTATGAACCAATCACTATGTACTTATTGACAGGTCATAATGTCTCTGAAACTGTCATTGTGGCCTGTTGGATGACAAACTCTGCATTTTGAAAAGTGTTTTGACTGTGGATTTGCAAGTTAATTATAATGCATTGAGTGTTTATACATGGCCTTAAAAACTAAATGCTTCATTCTTCCGTTAATATGCATACTCTGTTCCAATTAATGTTGTAGTTCTAGTGTTGAAACCTCCCAAAGTATTGAAATTTGTAAATTTAGAAGTTGTTTCAGCTCTTGCGCTTAAATGGTGTTTTCCCCTGTTCCCTTTTAATGTATAAGTAATGATCATCACTTATAAAAATAACAAGTTGTTTAGTGCTTCACCCACACCAGTTACTTCATCCAGTTTAATAAAACTCTTGTTTATACTGACAAAAGCGACGTGAATCTGAATCACATTTGGCACTCTGTACTTGGCTGACTCTTAATGTCGCAGATGACATGGCCTTGCCTAGGAACTGCACTACCCAGTCTCAAAAAGAGTATGATACAGCTAGAAACATCAATTCTAGCATATGCTTAAAGAAAAGTGTTGGGGGTTCTTGAAGTAACTTGCTCAGGTGTGGAAATGTTTACTGTTGACGATGAGTCATAGATATAGATGTTAAGTTGTTTCAAACAATATATTCCACTGGAAGCCAACAAGGAAGTGGAATATAATCTTTGAAAACACTATTATGTAAACCTAATTTCCCTACCACCTCAAATACCCATAATAGTGGGTATCTATCATTCCAAGCTTTTACATCTGGAGCTAAATTTGGGTGAACGGAGGCTTTTTTTGTTTTGAATCAATGCATCAGGAAATGTCAGTGAATATAAGGCTAACTTAATTCATGCTAAAATTAGAGTTGATTGGAATTTTTCAAATTTTCAGCATTTTTATCGAACTAAATTTTCATTGAACGTAAGCAGAGAGTGGGAGGAAAAACACCCCAAAATAGGGTTTTCTGTTTAAAAAAAATGCTTTTTGAGGATAGGGTTTCAAGCAGTTGTAATCAAGAATTGAATACCCCTTCACTTACCAGATTGAGGCAAGTAACATGGTCAAAGTGTGGTTTTGGGGAATTTTGTTAAAAATGCTGGAGTACAAAAATGTTAAATTTATGGAAAATGCCCACTTAAACAGGTTACATGAGAGATAAGCAGCAGCACAACATGAGCAGAACAGTATCTACACATCTTGAGAGTCTGGCAGCATAGAAGAGCTAGTGAAACAAGGTTTATATACATTGAAAATTGGGATTGTTCAATCACACCTTATACTACCTCCATTAAGTTGCTTGCCAAGGAAGAGAGTCTGACTTTACATTTATTAGGTAATGGTTTGATTGTCACTTGCATCAGTGCAGGAATGTCTCTTATCCTGTGCTACTTCTAAAGTCCTGTACAGGTTTCCAAAATGAAGTGGTCAATTCTGTGCTTTGGTGACAATGTTGGCGCTCATCAGAGTTGTTGAGTTTACCAGACTCAGTCAGAATGTTGCAGGAGACACTCCTCTGCCAGGATTAGTCCTTCCTTCCCCACTGTGGTGATTCTTGTGAGCTGTGGGGCAGTGTTTCTAACTTTTCCCACCCTTGGGCGGAGTGAATTTTTCCTTCATATCTGTGCACATAACAAAATTCATTGGCAGGGGTGGGGCTACGGAATTCTGAGTGTGAGAGGGCACAGGCCTGGGGGAGAGGGTTAGGTGCAGGGTGTGAGGGCTCTGGCTGTGAATATAGGCTCTGGGGATGAGAGGCTCGGGGCTGGGACAGGATTGGGGTGCAAGGACTTTGGGAATTATGGGTTTGGGGTCCAGAGGGGGGTCTCTAGGCTGAGGAATTGGGGCCGAGGAATTCCGAGTTGGAGTGCAGAGGAGGGGTTGAGAGTTCTGGGGCGGGCCGAGGGATGAGGATTTTGGGATGCGGGAAGAGCCGAGTGCCTGAAGGGGTATGAGCTTGGGATGTGGGCTTTGGGGTGGGACCAGGGATGAAGGGTTTGGTGTGCAGGAGGTAGCTCCGGGTTGGGGAGGGGGCTTGGAGGGGGTTTGGGACTTGGGCATACCTGGGCGGCTTGTGGTCAGTGGCACTAAAGCAGGCTGCTTGGTGCCTACCTGTATTGGCTGCTTATGGGCACACTGCAGTGCCACAAGACATGAAGCTCCAGAGCATGTGGAGCCCAGTAGTTTTCCCACCTATGAGCTGGACCTGCTGCTCTGGCTGCTTCTCCATTGCTCCCAGCACTGACCTGCCATGGCTGGGGAAGAGGGCTCCCTCCCTGCTGACCCCAGTAGGATGCTGCCATGGCCAGTGGGAAGGTGCCATACCCTGCTGGTCCCAGCACAGAGCTGCCCCCGCCATGCTGCTTCCTGCTAGGGCCAGTGGAGAGAGGTGCTTCTTATCAGCCACAGCAGCTTCAGGGCTTAGGGAGAGGCATCTTTCCCTGCTGCAGCCCCGAGTCCCTGCGTAGGGCTTAATGGTAAGCTGCCAGCTTTGCGGGAACTTATTTATGGGGATATTTCTGCCAGGAATGCAGAAAAATATCTTCTCTTCTTCAATAGGGCCTAGTTAATTTCTAGTCTTTGGTCCCTAACTTGTTGCCAGAGACTGAAACCCTCAATTTAATGCAAAATGTTTGCACGTTCCCACCGGGCCACAGCATGCCTTAGGATAATCTTCTTCCACTTTACTGTAAGAATCAGGTGGTACAAAATGTTTGATATCAGACTCTATAAGTTAAGAGTTTAAAGGTCTGTAATACTAATCTTTCTAAATGAGATGTCAGTGTTTTTTGAGACAGGAGACTCCTCTATAGGTATTCTCAGTCCTGAAGTGTCTACAGCATTCCCATGTATGTCCTGCTGTACATTGGAAACTGTACCTCTTCTACAGGGGTGGGCAAAAGGGCCTCCACGGGCTGGATTCAGCCCACCAAGCAGGTTTATCTGGCCCACAGATGCCCTGCTGTTCCCCTGCCTCCAGGCCAATTAGGTACCAGGGCTGGGGGAATGCACATGCGCACAAAGTTGTCTCCTCCTCCACCAGTGGTGCATGGCACTTGTAGTCAACCGCTAGGGTTGACTCTAAGCCAGGCATGTCCAAAGTCCGGCCCGCGGGCCAATTGCGGCCCGCGGTCAGATTTAATACGGCCCCCGCTTCTCCCGGCTCCCCGGTGCTCCTTTTAACTGGTGCGCACAGCGCAGCGCGCCGCTTTGGGCCGCGCTGCCGCCGCGGTCCTAGACCCTGCCCTGTAGGGCACGTCCACAGCCCCGCTCCCCCGCTTAGCTGCGGGTTCGCCCTGACCCCGGGACGCCGTGAGGCCAGCGTGCCCTGCGCTCTCCGACCCCGCGGGCCCTCCGCTTTGGGGCTGAGAGTGCAGGGACAGCCCCCGCCTCCTCCCCCTCTCCTGGCTCCCCGGCGCTCCTCTGAACTGGCGCGCACAGCGCGCCGCTTCCGGCCGCGCCGCCGCCATTCTTGGCGGCGTAGCTGACAAGATTAATCGATAAGCCCAGGCTTATCCATGAATTGTGTAGTCCAGGCATGTCCAAAGTCCGGCCTGCGGGTCAATTGCGGCCCGTGTTCCGGTTTAATACGGCCCCACGGGTAATTTGGCAATATCTATCTTTTATGGCCCCCAATGAATCCATATGTATTGAGATGAATACATTGTAAAATCTCAGTTAAAGTCAGTTGGTCTAAATCAGTTATAAATATATTTGGACACAACATGTATACTTGGTGTTATGTTCCTGTTCATATTTTTTGAACTTAAAAGTTGACAGACAACCTTTATTACCAATAATATGTAATGTACTTTACAATGTTCCTGACATATATTTCAGCTTCCTGGATTTTTTTTCATCTGGCCTTCAGATATGAAAGGCAGAGTGATTTAACACCTGTTTAGATTTGTCATCCATGTGACGAAATGAAAAGTATGCCGTTTGCAATAAACTTTGCATAAAATAGTTAATTTGCATTTAATTTTCATGGTTCAAAGAATGTCAGGCAAAATGGTCGGCCCTCACTCATGTTCACTTCTTCAAATCTGGCCCTCTTTGAAAAAAGTTTGGACACCCCTGCTCTAAGCACTGCATGCCCCTTGCAGAGCTGGAGCATGGCGGGAGGAGACTTTGCACGTTTGCATGCTCCTCTTTCTCTTTCTACCCCACCCCCTGGCCCAGATTGACCTGGGGGCGGAGGGAGCGTGCAGAGTCTCCCGCTGCTGGGGCATGGGCATCTAGAGGGAACCACCAGCTGTTTAGAACAACTGGTAGTTCTCTCTGGAGGGAGGGGGCAAAGAATTCACATGCTCTCCCCCACACCCAGGCCAATCAGGGTCTGTGGGTGGGGAACCACGGACTTGTCCTGGCCCCGCCTCTTCTGCCCAAGGCCCTGCCCCTCCCAGGACCACTCCAAAAATTTCTGACCCCCCCCCCCCCCCACCCCTTCTTCTCTCC